CATATAAAAAATTCCAAGCCATGCTGTGGAATCAGCTTTCATGGAATCCTGTTTGACATCTTAATGTGTTCTTTGAATGAATAAGGTTCTTTCAATTGAAAGAGAAAGACCACATGACTGTTTCTCATTTGTAACATGTATTATACTCTAATTGCTTTTTTGTAAGGTCCAAAAGTAGAATGCTGCGGAAGGGTTCCTTCATTCTTCAAAGATATGCAGTTCCGACATTCCACAGCTCAGCTCAGAAACAAAGCCTTCATGGTAAAGTGACCCATTAGTGCTCTATTTAACATAACACTGCCGATTTTGTAAATGTTTTGGAGGGTGTTAGTTAATGAAAGAGGTAGAAGAAAGGTTCAGATATTTATTAATCATTGCTATAGGTTGGTCCTCACACCACCTTGGCTAAAACGTAAAATTCGTAAAAGATAATAACTGTCACTGTGAGGGTTTAGTGTCCCACCGACGAGCTCAAATAAGTGTGAAACAGCTGTCGGTGTCTGTTATTTCAGGGGGTCTTTATGGCTAGAGTACATACAGTACAACCCTCCAGTCTTTTAATACGTCTCTTTAATATGTGGCTTTGAAAATATCGTAACTTGACTAATCAAGCTAATAAATAGTTCAAATAATAAATGAGTGAGAGCTGAAATGAAAATAAAAGATCTTGTAGCGCTCTGCCAAACCTTAAAATCTAAACTGTAAAACATGATTATTCTGAGCGCTTGAACATCTTCTCACAAATACCAAGAGATCAAGCAACTGGACTTAACTGAAATGCTGCTGAGAAGAATCATTTTTCATGGGGTTAAGTCAGGACCAGCCTGTCTTTTTTATGTTGCAGCTGAGCTCTTACTAAACTAAACACTGATTTGTATTGCTAACAATAGAGATTATAATTGCTATCTTGTCTTGTTCATCTGCTCAAACCTCACAAATGTCAGGTTACAGTGTAAGATAGAAAAAAAATAAAAAACTAACATCAATAAAATTATCAATTCAAATGAGGATTCAAATATGTAATATGAGCCTGTCTGTCCGAGTGAAAATAAACAAAACAATCATTCTCGTTATTGAACTAGTGGGTTCTAGCTGAGAAGTTAGAATAGGGAAAGAATATTTCAAGGTATTTCTTTCTTGAATGTCGAATGGCTGAAAAAAAACACATAGTTAGAAATCTTGACCATTTTCCTCTGTGAGCAAGATTCAAAGGCTGAAGATAATATTACAGAATGCATTAAAATAATTAATGTTTAATTTTGCAGAGAGTCTTTTCAAAGTCCACCCAGCTGTGTCAGAAGCCTTGGCGAATCAGAAGCCAGTTGTGGCTTTAGAAAGCACCATTATTACACATGGCATGCCCTATCCTCGTAATCTGAGGTATGTTTGAATGACTCTACACATTCATAAATTTCACTGCACTTAAGTTCTAAAAAGCCTCTCTATTTGATCTTATTAAGTGACATTAGTTTAACGTAACAAATAGTTTAAAATGTATTGGAATTTCTTTTTGATTCTTATGCAGCAATTGACAAATTATAGTAACTGTGACTCCTGCAAGACATTTTCTTGAAATTAAATTATACTTTTCTTCCTCTTCTTCTGGTTTACTGTGGTGATACTGCTGTGATACAGAGATATAGGCCATGGTATACTGAATTTATAATGTCTTCAACAACCATTAAAGACCATCAGTATTTCTTGTTTTTCTTGTAGTCTCATTTTCTTTTAATCTTATTTTCCTCCTCTTACATGTTGTTCAAAGTCAAATATAAACACGAGTACTTCAGATGTTGTACAAGACAGTGTTGGAAGGAAATGGGAAATAGGCCTTCACAGCAAAGTTCTTGAAAAAAGCCCTTGATTATTGCAGACAACCTGAAAAAAAGTCTGAAAAGAAGTCTTTGAAAAACAGAACACAGCAAGAACTATAAACATTCTTCCCGACAATGTCAGTGAAGTCCCAAATCGATTTTTTTTTATCTCTGATGGGAGAGTCATTTTGTGGAAGATGTCACAAAGAGCATTTTAAGCAGAATTTCCACGGCCCACCGTGAACCACTGAGGAGATAATGCTACAGTCCGGAGGTGTATGACAGATACAACAGTTGCAGAGATACAATAATATAAACAGAGATATGAACAGGGGAACTAGGAATTTGAATATGAGAAAGACTAACAAAATCAGGACTCAGATACATGTCTAAGGTGTATCTTCTAGACTTTAGTAATTGTTTGAATACATTCGTCACATAATCTTTGCTTTAAAAATGGGGAGGGAAAGAAATTGCCTGTATACGTAAGATATGAAAACTTTTTAAATTTCTAACACAAATAAGAGCATAACAAAGTCATAAACCAATTGGAAAAATATGATTTTTATAGCACAGCAAAAGAAGTGGAAGCCATAGTAAAGGCCAATGGAGCTACACCTGCCACTATCGGCGTATTACAGGGAAGAGTGCATGTGGGCTTGTCAGAAAAACAGCTTCAGTTTCTGGCTGGTAACTCCTCCTCTCTCAAAGTGTCCTGCAGAGACCTACCCTACGTCATCAGCAAGGTAGGCACCTGTTTCAATATGCCGTCCCATGGCCGTTAAGCTCCATGATATTGACATGTTGGCTGAGATGTTGTCTCGACTGAGTGATTGGATGATTGGATGACATGTATGAGCATGTAACTGCAAAGCTGCAAGCTTGAGATAGTGCTGCTAACATATCACCAGTAATTAAAAATACTAAATCAATAACTCTGTTGTTATTCTGGGGGAATATTATTGCATATAGTATATATTGCAAGCTAGTAATATATTAGGCTACATTGTTCACAAAATAATGATCTCATTTTAACACAATGTTATCTTGTTTAATGAAAAAAAATAATGCAAAAATTAGTTTAAACACAATATTATGTTGTTTCAACACACATTTTTTCTCCGTGGCTCTAATAAGCTTCCAAACCTTCCTATCCGCCCCAAGATTTTGAGCTTGGATTTCCGGAAGGTTTTGTGCACGTACGTATTACAAATTGTTGCATATACTACATGTTCGAGCACAGAGCTCTGCCCGGAAAGGTGTGTAATAAATTAATTTCGACTGGTTGGTTAATTTTCTTTGGCTGACTATTGTTTTTGAAGGATTAGGCGAAGGAGAAGCTCCATGGACTCCAGTGCTATGTGTGTTCTTTACTCAGGGGCTGTCAGGGGGCACCACTGTATCAGCCACCATGCTAGCAGCACACAGAGTGGGGATCCCGGTGTTTGTGACTGGGGGGATAGGGGGAGTGCACCGTGGAGGAGAAACTAGTGAGTGCCCAGTCTGATTGCATGCATGCTTTTCATTTTTTAATTATATACAAAATGTATTTTTATATGTTACTGATGATATTTTATCTATTAAACTATCAAAGAGATAATCTATGGTGATTTCTGTCTTTTACCTTGACCATATACCATGGTAATGTGGTCTCAGAGTGGTTAGTATTCCTGCCTTGCAGTGCTGAGGCCCTGAGTTCAATCCCTGACCCGGGGTGCTCTCTGTGTGGTGTTTGCATGTTCTCCTGTGTTCGTGTGGGTTTCCTCTGGGTGCTCCAGTTTCCTCCCACAGTCCTGCAACATACTGGGAGGTTATCTGGCTTCTAGGAACTTTGACCTGGTGTGAGCATGTGCTTGTCTGTGTGTGTGCCCTGTGATGTATTGGCGTCCTGTCCAGGGTGTACTCTGTCTTGTGCCTGTTGCTTGTCGGGATAGGCTCTGGCTCCCCTGCAGCCAATTTGGAAAAAGTGCTTAGAAATTGGATGGATTGATGACTTTTTGAATTACTATTTCCCTCTGTAGTATTCACTTTCTATGTACAGTATATCGAGAAGAAGTCTGGGATAAGAAAAATAATGCTCAAAAGGTTTGGGCGTGGAAAGACTCATTTTTTTACAACACAATGCATAGTTTGCTCATATCTTGCTTCCCTTGACTGGATAATCACTGAAATTGTACTTAAAGACAATGATGTTGTAGGCTCTCTGATAAAGCAACTTCCTCTGAGAACCCTGAAGAATACATCAACTGCAAAATGTACATTTACTATCAAGACATTTTTCATGCTTTATTGGTTGGTAAATATATATTTTTTAAATAAAAGGAATTGTTACTGGTGACAAGATCGAAGAGCATTACTTACTGGAAATAGACGGGACACTTGCAAATGTTTATCTTTATCAGAGCAATTAATCTGTAGATTTATTTAGCTGGAAAATTTAGGGGTATCCATTTTAACACAGTACATTAATATAGCAAAGCAATGATACCAGGCTAGAGGGTTTAAATGGCTGTGTAGTGTAGTAATACATGTACATTGGAATATAAGAAACTAAGTTATTTATACTCAGTAATTTTGTGATTTCCACACATTGTGTACTCATATCTGCTCTTGACTGTAAGACTGGTGCTATCCATAATACACAATACCTTTCTCCTTTGCAATTCTACTTTACCTAACTGTTCCATTAGTAGTTCATGGAAGGGATGTTGTTCTAATGGCTGAACTGCCCTTTGATCACTCCAGCATTGGATATCAGTGCGGACCTCACTGAGCTTGGCCGCACGCCCATCGCCGTGGTTTCAGCTGGAGTAAAATCCATCCTGGACATCGGCCGGACTTTAGAATACTTGGTGTGTATTTTTTATGATGAAAACGATATGGAATGTGAACTATGCCAGATTTAATATAAAAGTAAACTACCCTGAAATCTACAAGAGGTTCAGAAATTCTGTTCAATTTTTTATTGTAAAAACCATTGAAAAGAAACGCAATATTGGTAAAATATTAGGACAATCTCTAATTTGTGATACTGATCACTTGGTTTCGTTTTTTCATTTCATTCCCTATGTTTATTTAAAAAGGATAATGGATCATAATTATGCATGAAATCACCATAAAGGTGACAGTTTAAATCACTGTGACTGAGATACATCAGTGTTTAATACAACATGCTTTGGCCTGAATTGTCTGAATGAGTGACAGCAGGGAAATGAGACAAAGATCACTGTAACACAAGTGTTGCATTTAATTACTTTCAGATCAAATTTCTAAAATTCCTTGCTTTTTTAATTTCATCATGTGTCTTCTATTAGGAAACACTGGGTGTCTGCGTTGCCACATTTGGAAAATCCAGGGATTTTCCAGCATTCTTTTCTCCACAAAGTGGATTCAGCTCCCCATACAATGTGGCAGATGCCAAAGAGGCCTCAGAGCTTATTGGTGAGAAGAAATAACCTTGATAGAGTCAAATCCTGCATTACTGGTACTTAGCACATGAGACTGTTTCACAGTTTATAAATCACTTGTAATTAACAATGTAGTTTAATTGAGATCATAGCCCACCTAAATAGCATATAATTTCATTCTTCACCACTGTGAAATTGTGGTAGACAATAAAGGATCTGAGTTTTGTAGAAAGGAATTAGCCAAGCCCTAATTCTGAAGGTCAAAATGTTTTAATTGAATGTTTTCAAATGTATCCTTATTTAATATATTCCTAAATTTATTTTATCCCTATACTGACATACAGTGTTTTACAATCGAGAGACTTTCTGTAAGTAAGAATTCCATTGTACCAGTACCGGTTACATATGGCAATAAAGTTCAAGTTCAAGTTCAAGTTCAGTGGTTCTATTTGTACCTTAACCTGTTTTCATTGTGGCAGTGATATTAAAAATATTAAAATGTTGAAGAGGAATGTATTATCTGGGACCAATCATTGAGATAAAAGGCATTAATAATGTAGATTACTGTGAACTGAATGCTGATCATTGGATAAGAGAGGAGCTTACAATATTGTGTTTTAGTATTTAACATTGTGGTACTGCTGTTATAGCTGAAAGTGAAGAGGAGCTGAAGAGTCTGTTGGTGAAGGTAAAAGAAGAAAGTGCAAAAGTTGGCCTGCAGCTTAACATGAAAAAATGAAGATTATGTCAATGGGCCATATTAATCCTTTGCAAACAGATGAAGAAGTGGAGGTAGTGACAGATTTTTTCTTGGGCTCAAGGATCTCAGCAGATGGTGATTGTAGCCATACAATCAAGAGATGCTTGCTTCTTGGGAGAAAAGCAAAAGCAAATTTGGATAAGATTAAAGTGCAAAGATATTACATACATTGTCAACAAAGATCCATACAGTGAATACTATGGTCTTCCCTGTGGTAACATATGGATGTGAGAGTTGGACTATAAGTAAGGCTTTGCGTCAGAAAATCGATGCTTTTGAACTGTGGTGTTGGAGAAAATTGTTGAGAGTTCCTTGGACTGCACGAAGATCAAATCAGTCAATACTCAAGGAAATAAACACAGATTGTTCATTGGAAGGATTGATAGTAAAACTATAAAATGCAAAGACAGGATTCACTGGAGAAGACTCTGATGTTGGGAAAGATTGAAGGGAAAAGAAGGGGGCGGCAGAGGTTAAGATAGATAGATAGTATTACTGAAGTAATGAATATGAATTTTTCAAGAGCTCAGAGAAGCGGTTGTTGACAGACAGGTCTGGCACACTGAAGTCCATGAGGTCACAAAGAGTCAGACTGAACACACACACCGCCATTATAAGCAGATGTTTTAGATATTAAAAAAAGACAGTTTAATGTAACGCCACAGTAAGCCACTACAGTATTCACCTGGGGCTGGCGTTCTAGCTGCAGCTCTCTCTGTCATGCAGCACACGCGCTCTCCCTGGGCCTGCAGAGTGGAGTGCTGGTGGCAGTTCCCATCCCAGAGGAGCAGGCAGCCAAGGGCCAGCAGATTGAAGCCGGCATCCAGACCGCCCTGGAAGAAGCCAGGTAAAAACGAGTGTTTTGAAACAGGACAGATTTTGTTTACACTGCTAAGAGACTTGCTCCGTGATGGAAATGGAAGGAGCAGCCCTGGTGTCTAAGCTCAGACTGCAGATACAGAGGGCTCCTCCATATAAGGCTGGTATCAATAAAGACTGACGTACAGCAGTTGTGACATTACGCACAGCTGTTCTGCCTTGTGTTGGAAGATTATGAAAAGTGAGAAATTCACGTAAGAAAACCTGACACATCTCAGAGCGTCATGAAATTGTGGGGCTTGGTGCTGCTATTAAAAAGGATCAGAGTTTATAAATGCATTTAAACCTTTTGAAGCAGAACTGTACAGAAATAAATATTCCAATAGCTGCTGACCTTGTGTGAGGCAGACAGTAATCTTTTCATTAACATTTTATTGCACTGGTGCTACACTAAACCAGCAACTTAAAGTTAATTAGGAAGTTAAAACAAGGGTAGGTAGGTTTTTTTGATAAGTTTCCATTGGTGGTTAGTTTTGCCCAAAATACATTATGAGAACAAATAAAAGAAATTGGTTTTGTGGGTGAAATGACTGAAGAAAGGAGATTGAAAGTACCATCTAAGATGGCATTAGCAAGTCATGCCACCCCATGACATTTTTTTAAACAGCTAGTCTCCAGCAGAATGTTATGCTACTGTGTCTGTTCAGGAAATCCGTAAGGGACAGAAAGGGATTTTGTATTTGGCCCATTGAATGAATAATTTATATACCATAGCCCACTTTATCCTTATATGGAGAGAAATATTGAGTTCAGGCACTAAAGAACATTAGGGCAGATCTGAAATAGATGGCATTTTCTGAGATGTGTAAAACAAGAGGTATAAGTTGCTTCATAGTTGCATGCATTCTCAAGGTAGAATATTTATTTGATCAGGTAGAATCAGATAGATCAGGTAGAAGCAATCATTATGTAATACAGTGCAGTGGATTTATTGTAGAAGCCTGTCAATCATGAAGGTTCAAGTTGAGTTGTTGTCATGAAATGGCTGCATGTTGCAACATTCCAAGTGGACTCAAGTGTTTTAGGTTCTAAGTGTTTTTATTACAGAACTAATATCAAGCAAATAGTGAAAGATTTTGCAGCGCGTGTGCTCAACCTAGCACTGCCTGAGACCACCAGCCCAAAAGTTCATCTCACCATCACCTGATTATTGTACAATACATGAAATAGATGCATGTGCATATGTAGAAATCCTTACAAATGTGGTCTAGAATACAATATCTACCAAAGGTTCACAATGAAATTGTCTTTTCCAATAACTGTACCTACCTGACTTGATTTCTTCTTCCTGTAGAGCCAAAGGTATAACAGGAAAAGATGTCACACCCTACATACTACACAGACTCAGTGTACTGACTCAAGGGAAGTCCCTGGAAGCAAGTATCCTCCAAGAATATTTGATTTCAGCTTGGAAAAAAGAGCTTTGACATTTACTTTGTCATTCGTCATCCTTATTACATCCCAGCCCTTTTCTTAAAATGTACTTAAAGTTCATGCTGTCTAAATGAACTGGGTTCAAGGGTTGTTTGGTAGGAATGTTGAGGAACTCAGCTGAAAGAGTTTGTGATCAGAAAAAAACGGGAAGATAGAGTACTGTATTAACTGAAGTCTTCAAAATCCTGAAACACTGTCTGAATCTCAACACAAGAACAACTGGCAAAAATCTTCCTAAAAAGGTTCATTAGTACATGGGGCTGTCTGAGATTCAGGCTGTTGCCTTAAAACAACAGTACAACAGGACCCATAGCAAAATACTTCTCAGGGGTACAGCCTAGTTCTAGCTAATAGGGGGAAGGAGAGAGGGGCCCATACCTTAAACTACAAGTGGCAGAAACAGACCGATTCACAGGGAACTGCTAGAGTGCTGATTTTCCCCTCATTAGGGCTGCATTTGGTGTGCAAATCTCCTAGCCATGTTACAATAAGTCAAGATTTTGCACAACATTAAAGAAAGAAAATCTAAAGGCTGTTTTCTACCATAATTCATCTTGTTACTGAGTTCCCTTGACCTGCTGTACCCAAGATGTTTCCCTCATTCATAACAATGCTAAAGTGGGCAGCCAGATAGCCTGTGCTTTAGCTAAGATGCAAACAGGAAAAAAGACACCTATTTCATTCCTCCAAAAGAAGAATCGGCGAACCTCTGATCCAAAAACAGTGAGTAGCTTTACCATTTGTCAAAAACATACATAATTTAATATGAAGGATAATATTATCAGAGTCAACAGATCAAGGGCCAGAGTAAAAGAGTTGTGCCTGTCTCAGAAAATCAATAAAGTGAATATTGTCTTTTTTCTGAGTACATAATATTTTGTAATTGAAATTAATGGATGTTTGGCAAACCATGGTTTCATAGAATTTAGCAGCATTTTTACCTCAAGTTAAATACTCTTGAACTGGAACTAAAGTATAACACAAGCCGCACCACACATTGTGTTATGTAAAGAAGAAGAGATCTTGAAGTTATAGGGGTTTGAGATGCATTTCTTAGTTTTTATTTTTGAGATGCATAGCCACATATTTTGCATATTAAACTGTATGATGTCTGACAGTGCGTATATATAAAGAGTTGTCATCTCATGCATTTTTGAGAGTAAATTCAACATTCAAATACAAGATAAAATAACTTGTAGACACAAATGTAGAAGCTTCACATGAAAAGAGTACTTCTCACCTGCTTCATTTCCCCTGTTCTACAATGAGTTAATACAGTATATTAGTACACTTAGCAACTTGTGAAGAGAACACAGATGTCATTCAAGGGGAATTTATAACTAACAAAATAAATACATTTTTCCTTTAGTACTGGTGTGTCCACTCCTGGCTCTGGACGACTGTTGTGTCTGTGGGTTTTTTGGTCCAACTTAACTCTTCCCCAACTAAACCATCCAGTCGGCTTCACCCATGTCTTGAGGTGCTGCTGCTTTAATCTGACCTTGAAAAACTGCAGACACACGGGCGCTCTAGGACCAGGAATAAACACTCCTAGTTTGTTAACAATAATCTTGAAAATAAGACATTTTAGTGACCTCTAGTTCTGAGGTCAGGTATGTCTTTTGCTGTATTTAAGGTGGTCATTGGTGGGATCAATGTGGACTTCATTGCAAAAGGTAAACAGGAGAAGTTACTGGTAAGGAACTGTCCAGCCCTAATTTAATTTCTAACTTTTCACTCTTGATGATATAGAATGAGGCTTTGAATGAGTGGAGGTCATTTGACCTGTTTTGCTGGTTTGGAGGATTGTAACTGATTCCAACAGGCTTGTAAACTGACTTTTTTGAAGGTCTTATCGCTGCATGATCTACAACACGCAGTAGCTAGGTACTTGGTTCCTTAACATTTTATGTAAAGAAATAGCACAATTCTTTATTTATTTACTTAGTTTCTATCTGTCATCTCATACTATTGTCTGCATGACTTCCTGCTGTGATTTTACCCTGTGTGTAAATTTCATTATTTCAAATATCTCAGTTGAATCTTATCAAGAGTTGCTTGCTTACCAAGCTAAATACTTTTTGTTAAGAAGGAAATACCTTTACATCAAATTGTTATTTTGTTTTCTCTTGATTAGGATGCTTCCAAATATTGTCTGGATTAAATGATAAAAAAATAGTTCATTTTCATGGGTCTCTTCTTGTAGAGTAGTATTAACCATGTTTAGTCTTTGGTGGTTATTAATATTGCGTTATGAATGTTTTCTTTTCTCTTAAAAATTGTTACAGAAATTTAACAGGCGATAATCTGGGGTTAAGAAAAGTAAAGCAGATAACGCAAGCAATAAACTGTAAAAGACGTGTGCAGTAGGATCGTTTTCCAGCAGATGGAGCACTAGCGCAGGAATTACCTAAAATAACCTCTAAAAAAAAATCCGAAAAATTTAGTTTGGTATAATTTATTTAATATTTTAAGAGTTTAATTAGTAGTCACAATGTAATTAAATTTAGGTAATGTCATTATAATATTAATTGTAATTATTTTTAACAATGTGTTCCTCAAAATCAGCTTTTGCTGTTGTTTAAATTTGGGCAGGTGGAGGGCTGGTATTTGGAAGTCTCAGCTTCTACCTGGACTGGTGTGGGGTCATAGCAGTGTGGCACTGGAGAGGAGGGCATTAGCAATGTGTGGTTTACGTACACTGTCCATTCAGTTTAATTTAACTACAATACTTATCTTCAAGGAAAATACTGAAGGAAGTTTATTGCAGCATGCAGGTAGCTGGAAGCTGAACACTTACATCTTTTTTTGGATGTGGAACAACATTCCAATCTTATTCCACTCTTAGACAACACTTGTCTTTTAATCCTTCTTCCACAGAGTATAATAATAGTTTGATTCATTAAATGAAGGTCTGCTTTAAGAAAACCACATCGTCCCTGTTCTTACGAAACCCAGAGTCAGTTGCCTGAATGACTACCGCCCTGTTGCACTCACATCAGTTATCATGAAGTTCTTTGAGCGGTTGGTCAAAGCATACATCACCTCCTTGCTGCCTGACACCCTAGACCCACAGCAATTTGCGTATCGTCAGAACAGGTCAACAGAAGATGCTATTGCCACTGCCCTCCAAACTGCCCTCTCACACCTGGATAAGAAAGGAACATATGTGAGAATGCTGTTTGTTGATTAGAGCTCAGCATTCAATACCATAGTGCCCTCAAAGCTTGTCATCACGCTCCAGGACCTGGGACTGCACACCTCCTTTGGTAATTGAATCCTGGACTTTTTGACGGATCGTCCGCAGGTGATAAGGGTGGGCACCAACTTATCCTCTACTCTGACTAAACATTGGAGACGCCCAAGGCTGTGTGCTTAGCACTCTCCACTACTCCTTATTTACCCATGACTGTGTCGCCAGGCATAATTCCATCTGTCACAGTCGTCATCCCTCCTCTAGAGGGCGCTCCTACCTTTTTCGTTGTGTACCTAGTTTTATTTGTCCCTGCTGTGTCTTATCCCCTTTTCCCTATTTAAGCCCGTTGTCTCCGTAGTTCTGGGCTCAGCTTTGGAAGATGGAGGCCCGGAAGCCTGCCTACCACTGGGTACAGAACTGGCCGAGGGCACAGGCTTCATCATGGTGTCCTGATCTATTAAGTCCGGGGCTCGGAGTGCCTTGTTCAGTCAAGGTTTTAACTATCCGTAGGACTGCACCCTGATTTCCCCTATTGAACTTCTTTTTGAACTCGTTCGCCTGTGCTCCCATCATGCACCAGATCACTGCTGTCATCACTCCCCTGTGTTTCTACCCAACCCAATCCTGCTGTGTCTTCCCTGATGTCCTGCTCCAGTCTCTTCCGGATTATACCGTCTCGCATAGGGTCTTTAACTACAGATTTTACAGGAGTCAGAACCGATGACCGTGACACCATCATTAAGTTTGCGGACGATACAATAGTCATCGGCCTGATCACAGATGGAGAAGAGTCTGCATACAGGGAGGAGGTTGAAACCCTGGCAGCATGGTGCCAGGAGAACAACCTCTCTCTGAACATCAGTTAGACTAGGAGATGATCGTGGATTATAGGACACACCAGGGAGGAGATCACATACCTGTTTATATCAATGGGACTGCAATGGAGAGGGTCAGCAGTTTTAAGTTCCTGGGAGTTAACATCACAGAGGACTTAACCTCGTGGTCAAAACAACACAGCAGCGCCTATTCTTTCTCTCCAAGCTAAAGAAGTTCCGCATGCCGTCACATATCTAAGCCAGCTTCTACAGGTGCACTATTGATAGTATCCTGACTGGTGGAATCACTGCCTGGTATGGGAACTGCCCCGCCCGGGATCGCAAAGTACTGCAGAGGGTGGTGAAGTCAGCGCAGCTCATTACCGGCTGTGAGCTACCAAACATCCAGGATATCTACTCAGCTAGATATCTGAAGAAGGCCAGGTCCATTCTGAAGGCACCAGTCATCCCAGTCCTAAACTGTTTTCTCTCCTAACGTCTGGTAAACAGTATTGAAGCATTCAGTCAAAGTCCAACAGATTACGAAACAGCTTTTACCTCCAGGCAATAAGACTGCTGAATAACCAAGATGCAGTTCCATTAGCAAATCACGATAAAGGCTACATGGACATACAGTTTTCTTTATATTCAGCATACTGCACTACTTGGACATGGCATACACCCTGGACACATAGCAGCTCTATTAATATCGAGTTTTGTCTAAGTTTATCTTATTCAATTTCTATTGCACTATTATTATGTAACCATATGTTGTAACTTTAATTTTGTGATTTTTATCCCCTCCTGGTGAGCTCCTAGAAAAGCCATTTCATTGCCAGCAATTACTGCTGCACGCTGTATTGTTGTGCATTTGATGAATAAACTTTGATTGTTTGATCGATTGATTTTATGCAGTTTTTCAGGGATATCTAAGTTTGATGAATTCGGTAAAGGCAATGAATCAGAGGGAAGACCGTGGTTGTCAGGAACAGTACTGTACAAAACTAAGAGAACACTAAGAGAACACATCATGTCATATTTCTGTACAAATCTAATTTAAATTTCACTTTAAGCTCCGTGAAACCATTTTGAACAGTCAGTAAAATCTCAGTAGCTGGGAATCTAGCTATGTTTGAGCAGCAAAAATAGAACATTCAACTGTAATAGAAGTAGTAGAAAAAGAGAAGCATGAATTTAAAAATGGCTTTCATGTTTGAAAGTTGACATTTTTAGTCCTGTGCAAATTAATTTTTAATTGACTAAGTTCTGTCAGCAAATGATTAAGAAATACCATCACACATCTCAAACAAAGCTATTTACAGAATATGTAAATGAGGAGGATTATTAGGACAGAAATGAAGTGAACACATTTGTTGAAGGCTCATCAAAACGCTTTTTTTATCATTTGTTTATATCTACTGCAGTTTGGACAGACCAATACAGGAAACGTTTGTCAGTCATTTGGAGGAGTGGGCAGAAATATTGCTGGTAGGTAGAGCACCAAGATGCACTGGCATGTACTATAAATAAACACTGTATTATTCAGTGTACTTATATTTAACCTGTTCTTAGCAAGTGTAATTTTTGTCCTCTGCAGCTTCCTTTTAAAAACAAAAGCATATAACATTCAAAAACAAAACATGCACACATTTTCTAGCTATTTAAAGCTTAAGACACCTTAAAAAATGTGTTGCTTCATACTTGCTATAAATCAGATACTCTATACAGTAGTCACTTCATATATATATATATTTAAATACACACTTTCTTTCTGGGAACAGAGAACATAAAAAGCTAATTAGCAGCTGGGAGAATTAATTATTAGTTGACATTAAAAATGTCCATTTTAAATTGCAGTCACATGATGCAGACAATGATGCATTCAGTCAGTACACCAGTTGTTTTTATCTGGCTGGGATGAAAATTAAAGAAAAGCCGAATGCCATTATCCAAGCTGTATAATCAACTGAATTTCCTTGAGGTTCTTTCAATGGTTACAGTTTTGGCAGAAATAAACATTAAAAATGGCCAGCTTTTTATACTGGGTTATGTAGTCAAACAGATACATCAAATCAAAACCTTTGGGAAAAAAATAATAATTTACACTTTCTTATTTTTCATCACTCTTCTAAGAGCTATTTATATTTTGAATTAATGGGGTAGGTAATAGTAACTGCCTCTCTTATAATAATTACTGGTATTTATATATTGCTTTTCATCCCTAAGTTTCCTAAAGCTTTTTCCCTACAGGAAAGGAATCAGCTGAAGTGCAACACGTGTCTGGGTGAAACAGCCAACATTAGTAGACCCAGATCAGGAGGGGAGAAGTTACTTCCCAGGTGGAGTTATGTCAGTACTCCTACTCCTACTGCTACAATAAGTGTCATGTAATCTTTAAAGACCAAGCAGACAGAGCTTAACATTTCCAAAGAAAGCTCATCCAAAGAGCGGCCTCGTGGTGTACAACACAGAACCTCCTAGCACCCTACTTGGGCATGGCTTTTGAAATACAAGTCCAGAGGGATGATTGCCACCTCACTGGTGCACCAGCAACAGAGAGACAACCTGCTCTTTCCTTGGACGTCTCTTATCACAGTACTGACTGCACCCTGCAAGATTTCACACAGTTAGGCTAGTTGGTGGCAATGCTGCCTTTAATAAAAAGAACGAAGCAGGGGGCCTCCAGGGGTTTGCATTGGTGAGCTCCTGTAGGTTGATTATTAATTGTAGTTCTTGGGCTGAAGGCTGATTTCTGGTTTTTCAGACTGTTTGACTCGTCTCGGGGAAGATGTTCTCTTCATCTCTGCTATTGGGTGTGATATGCACGCAGAGACCGTTCTGCGTTACTGTCGTCACATGGT